TCATTTATTTCAAAATTATAAAATAAAATGTTATAAAAATCACTACAAAAAATAGCCTTTTGTTTCAACACTTCTGATGTATTATCAAGTGATGGTGTTGAATGTAGAAATATATATATATATATATATATATATATATATATATATATATATATATATATATATATTCAAATATATTTCACTGAATAATATAGACATATTATGTCTATTTATTTTTATAATAAGCCCTTCTAGTTCTCTAATCAATTTCTTGATGTTAAGATAAAATTCATCAAGGAACGCACCGTAGTTTTTCCTCCCCATGTACTTTCGATCTCCTCTGAGATCATCCTCAGGTGAATTACAAAACATATTGTAACTGTGATCGTTGTTATTTTTTAAAATAAGCATAAATAATTATATATATATATATATATATATATATATATATATATATATATATATATATATAATCATTTATTTCAAAATTATAAAATGAAAATGTTATAAAATCACTACAAAATAGCCATTTGTTTCAACACTTCTGGTGTATTATCAAGTGATGGTGTTGAATGTAGAAATATATATATATATATATATATATATATATATATATATATATATATATATATATTCAAATATGTTTCACTGAATAATATAGACATATTATGTCTATTTATTTTTATAATAAGCCATTCTAGTTCTCTAATCAATTTCTTGATGTTAAGATAAAATTCATCAAGGAACGCACCGTAGTTTTTTCCTCCCCATGTACTTTCGATCTCCTCTGAGATCATCCTCAGGGGTGAATTACAAAAACATATTGTAACTGTGATCGTTGTTATTTTTTAAAAATAAGCATAAATAATTATATATATATATATATATATATATATATATATACTCTAAGACAGGAGCGTGCAACACTTTGCACGCATGCCAAACATTGCACGCTGATGACTTGGTTCTAGCACGCTTAACGTATTCATTAGATTCCCTTTTTGACTTACTTTTATTCTTTTCCTCTTTCATGTATATCATTATCTCATGTATATTTTATTTTCTTCCCTTTACTGATTGGGCAGAAGCTACCGATCTTCTGCTAAGAAACGATGTCGTTCAAATGAGAATTTAAAGAATGCTGGACTGAAATATTTGGCATGATTAAGAAAGATAATAAAGCCTTAAGCATTTTCTGTTCCAAAACAATCGTTTATAGGACTTCTTCTGTAAGGAGATATTTTGAAAGTGTTCATAAGCACTTAAGCAATAAAACTGAGGAGGAGCAAACAGAATTAATTTTTCATGAAATGAGCAATATAAAAGACAGGCTGATACTTTTATGAACTTTATTTCAGGTAGGCACAGTTCCAATTTAGTTGCTGTTAGTTTTTGAGGTTTCAAAAAAAATTTGTTGCCACGTGAAAAAATTTTATTAGAGATTTGGCAGGTTTTAGCACGCACTCTCAAAAAATGTTATTCTAAGGTAATGGATTTATTTATTGATCCGACAGAATTTTATCACTTTAAACGTTATTTTTAAAGGATACTCAGATTTGAGAAATCTTATTAGGGAAAATAGAGAACGGATATTTTTATGGGTTTTTCGGTTTAGGTTTTTTGAGAGTCATTCATAAAGAGAATATGACCTCCTACAGGGTTCGAACTTATTTCCTTCTTATGTAGAGGAAACCACTGCATGTGATTGTATCCATAAAATATAACGTATAAAGCAATAAGAAATAATGTCAGACTATAAATAAATTGCATTAATTCCTTATACAATTGCTTCATATTTACCTCTTTTTTTTCTCATTTTTTTATCTATCACGCATTGTTATCTAACCATAACCCAGTCCCAACACCAGCCCTAAAACTGACCACTCAATGAATTTCAACTAACACCGAACTTCACGCAACCAAATCTAAATCCATACTTAAAATATCTCCTCGTTCACACCTCTGCAGCCACTCACCTACCTCCGGTAGTCATAGCCACCAACCATCGCCGTCACGCGGTAGCCAACAACTTTTACACTCCACGATCAACACCACCATCCCTCGACTTCCTGTACTTAGCAACTCTCGCTTGTTGTTCCCGGGACTCGAACACTAACCAGACAGGGGTTTAAAAACTGCGGCCCACCCTGACAAAAGTTAGGACAGCGAGAGAAGCATAAACACAACAACATCTCCAATTGTGTCTCTTGGAAGCCGACTGACATGTCGACCGGCCCAGTCAGCCCGAGGAGTGGAGTTCCCTTACTTTGTCTATTCCCTCACCGACGCTTTCTATATACCCACAGGACGCGGGGACACTTTCAATTAGAGACAAGTATTACAAGCCTAGATGGACACAATAATTTGATTAGCGGTCCAAATGGATCTGCCTCTACCGACCCTCTGCCTACTGCCAATGCACGGGAAATGAGGAAGGAAGGGGCCTGTGCTTTTGTGCGCTTGATTCGATACGCTGACAGATGTTTGCACGATACTGGCCGACTAGAAGGACGTCATTGGAAGTGGGGTTGGAATCAATGAGAGTGAAGACAACGACAACAGTCGTTAGATGGCGCTGTTGTATAACAGCATACCTTGAGCGGCCATGTTGTACTTTTTTTCATTATCACCGGTGGCGGGTCTGTGAGGGTGTTAAGGGCTTCGTAACGACGGTTGTGGTACGAGGACAGTGGGTGTGAGGGAGTTTTGGCTTCAGTGAAGGTGATGTTGAGGGTGGAAGTAAGGGCGGGTCTGGTTAGTTGAGGTTGCGCAGTGTAAAGAGGTACAGGCTGAAAGAATGTGCATTGACACGGGGAAAAGTGTCGTTGTCGTCGTTTGTGGTGTTTAAAGGTTGTAAGATTGGGAAAAAATTAATGGAGAAATAAATAAAAACAAAGAAAGAAAGAGAGATAATTTGTCAACCACAGAAAGAAAGAAAGAAAGAAAGAAAGAAAGAAAGAAAGAAATTTAATGGAGAAAGAAAGAAAGCAATTTAACAAAGAAAGAAAGAAAGAAATTTAATGGAGTGAAGAGAAAGAATGCTATTTAAGAAAGAAAGAAAGAAAGAAAGAAAGAAAGAAAGAAAGAAAGAAAAAGAAAGAAAGAAAAGCTGAAACAATTAATGGAGAAAGAAATAAAAAAGGAAGACATAATTTGTTAACCACGAGAAAGAAACAAACAAACTAATAAACAAAAGGTAAAAACATTAATGGGAAAATAAATAAAAAGAAAAAAGAAAGAGATAATTTATCAATCACGGGGGGGGGGATGAAATAAATAAAGAAAGAAAACTTCTGAAAAGGAAGAAATGCTTAGGAATGTAAATAAAAGAGTCACAAATAAGAAAAATCTCTACATGAGGAATAAGAAAGAAAAAAGAGATGTCTGTGTACACTCATGTATATGTTTGATTGTTAGTATGTGTCTGTGTGTGTATGAGAGAGTATTAATTTGCATGTAAAATTACGATGATGTGGCAATGGGAGATTTCAAAACATGAAAAAGGGAAAGAAAAAATTTTGAAAAAAAAAACGGAAAGAAAACGATACAAAACCGTGGTAAGAATAAATAAATGAATGAATAAAAGACAAAGTGAAGAGATACGGAACTTTACAGGAGAAAGTCTCATCGCTTAAATATAAATGAAATGAAAGTGCAATAAGACAACATAGACATTCAATGAAGAGATATTCAATACGAAAATGAAAGTGAAAGTAACTTGAAAAAGAACTGTATATATCAGAAACAAAACAAAAATATACACGTGTTATTAGAATGTTTCTACGATTTCGATACTCCGCCCACACCATCACTCAAAACAAAATAAATGAAACTAAATCCCTCCTAAGTGACACGCCCATCATCAAGGCTTTAACATAAGTGGATATACATACAGGTTCTTAAATTATTCTTCGAAAAGCCGATAGATAAATGTTCTTGTCATTTGGATCCACATCGGAAAAGATTTTCGTGGGATAACAGTTGATATTTCTTTTCGCTTTCTGAATAGCCACGCCCTAGACAGACACATCCCTCATAAGATATTTAGCTCCACCCTCAACTCAAAGCTCTTGAGTCCTATCAAAGAAACGAAAATTTAGATAACAATTGGCACATAGATGTACTTCTTGCTGCTAAAGCAAAATGAACGTCGGTCATATCAAGAAATTTATTTATATAATTACGAACTTTAATTAAAATCTATATGGGTCATTTTGTATATGTTCTTTTTCTGTTGATAACATTCTACTACGAGAAATAATGAAGAGTTTGGAAAAAAAATATTATAAATTATACTCAGCCTTCTGACTGAGATAGTTGTAATTTTGCAATTATCACAAGGCGACACCGAGTTAATAAACAGAATTTCAACTATTGATTTTCAACGGATGCTAGTCATTCCCATGTTAAAACATTGCCCATCCCTTTTCCCCTTTACGTGTCGTGTTAACATAAGCTGACCAAATATCTTTAGTAAAACAAGATCGCTCTTTTTTCGTCTTTTGTCATTCGATATTTATTTATTTCAAGAAATAGAAACAAATTTCACAACACTTAAGTTACTGTCTGCAGCCACGAAGCATGAAGTTTGCATCATTTAATAGAACACAGATAGATAGATAGATAGATAGATAGATAGATAGATAGATAGATAGATAGATAGATAGATAGATAGAAAATGAACAGATAGATAGATATGAACCTATTGTGATAGATAGATAGAAAATGAACAGATAGATAGATATGAACCGATTGAGATAGATAGATAGATAGATAGATAGATAGATAGATAGATAGATAGATAGATAGATAGAAAATGAACAGATAGATAGATATGAACCGATTGAGATAGATAGATAGATAGATAGATAATGAAGAGATCGGCATAGATAGATAGATAGATAGATAGATAGATAGATAGATATATTAGGTTGGTGCAAAAATAATGACGTAAGAATGTCGTTTTGACGTTAAAAATACGTCAAAAAACGACATTATTACGTCATTATTTTTGCACCAACCTAATAGATAGATAGATAGATAGATATGAACCGAATGTGATAGATAGATAGATAGATAGATAGATAGATAGATAGATATGAACCGAATGAGATAGACAGATATAAACTGAATGAGATAGATAGATAGATAGATAGATAGATAGATAGATATGAACCGAATGAGATAGATAGATAGTAGGGATACTTAAAAAACGCAATTCCACCAAGTATAACGTTCTAAGTATATATATATATATATATATATATATATATATATATATATATATATATATATATATATATATATCGGATGTAACAACAAAATCGTTCAATAGTTAGATTAAGCTCTGAACCGTTGTATCTTAGAAGGGATTAAAGATATCTTACTGGAATTCTCCGAGGTTTTTATAACACTATTGGACTCTACTTTGACCAATATTTAAGTAAATGGTCTGTTTATAATAAATAGTATTAACAACATTTACCGGCCTGAATGTCCAAGAAATCTCAAAAAGTATTGGTTCTCCGACAAGAATCGAACCTGTATCCAACACAAAACCATTCCATCCCCTGACGTGCTATGCCATTTAGCTACAGGTGAAGCGTCTGGTTGGTAATGTTACATTTTGTTAACCAGATGCTTCTTCTGTAGCTATTGGGTTGGTGCATAATTATCAGGCGTTTTTAAACAATATTTATTATGGAAAAATAAACATAACAGTTGAATAATAACATTTTTACATGATTGTTCCGGGTCATGTGATTATCTACAGGCATTTTAATAAACTCAAAATAAAATAATATTCTTATTAAAAAAAAGTAACCAAAGCAGCAATTTTATTAACAACACAAACGCTTGATAATTACATACTAACCCATTAAATGGTATAGCATGTAAAGCTATATGACGGTTACGTGTAAGATATAGGTTCGATTCCAGTCGGAGGACACATACTTTTTTTTAAAAATTTCTCTGACATTCAGGCCCATAAATGTTAATACTGTGTATTATAAACAGAGTATTTACTTATACACTGCGTGCCAAATTATTATCGAGATAACATTTTTCTAATATTTCAAAAACCATCCAATCAATTCACACAAAATTTTCACACAATGTTGGCAACACTGACCTGCGTAATCACTGAAATTTTCGTACTGATCTGCGCAATGTGAACAAACTGGCGCCATATTTGTTATCAGCACGGTGATTTGAGCGTGCCAAATTATTAGAAAAGTATAAGAATTTAGTGAAAAGATGGGCCGTAAAAGCAGTTTAAGTGATGCTGAAAAGAAAACTATCACCTCAGAACTCTCAAAAGGTAAATCTACTCTAGAAATTTTTAAAATGATGGGGAAGTGTCATGAAACAGTGAAAAAGTTCACCGCCAACCCTACACAAGTACGCAAAAGGGCAGATGAAGGCAAGCTGAGGGTTATTTCACGTCGTCTCATGTCATGACTTAAATGAGAGGCCACGAAGAACCCTGGACTTACCAGTCAAGAGCATTTCAGTCGCATTGGGGATCCTACTGTGTCTAAAAATACTCGGTGTCGGTATCTGAGGGAAATAGCAACAACAGTCAAACCTGTATCGAAGCCTCCGTTGACGAGAAATCACATTCAAAATCGATTAAAATGGGCCGAGGAAAATATGAAGATTGACTTCTCTAAAGTTTTGTTCACAGACGAAACTCGAGCAACACTTGATGGGCCAGATAGATGGTGCAAAGGCTGGGTAATGAACGGACAGAATCGCCATCAGCGTTTGAGACGCCAACAAGGCGATGGAGGCATACTTTATCTGGGGTGTTATTATTGGAAAAACATTAGTGGGCCCATGGAGAGTACCAGATGGCGTCAAAATGACTGCTGATGCATACATAGCGTTTATGAAGGAGCATCTTGAACCGTGGATGAAAAGGCAAAGAGTTGCCTTCAGAAGGGCCATTGTTTTTATGCAAGATAATGCTCCCTCACAAGACTACTGAATATTTGAAACAGTTAGGCTTTGATGGACTTCGAAAAATGAAGTGGCCAGCAAATTCTCCGGATTTGAACCCAATCGAAAACCTTTGGAGCATCATGAAGCGAAGACTGTACGCCCACGGATGACAATTCAGGAGCAACGCTGAGTTGTGTGAAGCAATTCTTGACATATATCGCGGCATTACAGCAGATGACATCCTACAATTAACAAATTCTATGGATCGTTGTCTTCTTCAAGTAATTTCAAAACAGGGAAAGCACATTCCCTATTTGTTTAAAACTGTGCCTTTGTCTGTATCTGTTATTATTTGTTTGATTATCTTATTTATTACCTTCTTTTGATCATAAACATTCACGTGCAACATTAATAAACGTTTTGTTTGCTCAATTCTGGGAATTTTACTAAACCTTTCTAATAATTTGGCACGCTCAAATCACCATGCTGATAACAAATATGGCGCCAGTTTGTTTACATTGCGCAGATCAGTACGAAAATTTCAGTGATTGCGCAGGTCAGTGTTGCCAACATTGTGTGAAAAATCTGTGTGAATTGATTGGCATAGGCATATTTTATGTTTATTGAAATTTCTCTCAGGGTGAAATTTTCTATTGTTTAGTGAAATGCTGTCACTCACTTTATTGGTCAAGACCCTGTTTTAACAAACTATTAGAATATAACATAGTTCAACAGTAAAATTATGAGACCTATCTGCCAATCTAGTAGTACGCTTAAATTCATGGAGTCAAGGCATCAATGGGAGAAAAGGTCATCAGAACATTTACTATGAAAATATTTATAGAAAAGACAGAGGAAAGCTATGTCACGTGGGTGAGAAAGTGACGGAAGTCAAGCTGCCAGGTCAGGATCTGTTCTGGATTGATTACACTGCAGACCATTCTTTGAATTTTGTCAAGAATTTTGAGATATATAGTAGGAGCACCAGAACAGATATGGTAGCAGTATTCGCTTCTGTCTATTTCCCACAGCCGAAATGTAGTTTTCTGTGCCTTTTCCTTAAATAATTTCATAATGAGCTTTCCTTTTTGGTACCACGACTTTCCGAATTTAAGCTCAGTACTAGAGTGCCAGCTAGGTCTCATCATTTTATGGTTGAAGTTGCTAGATGTGACCGTAAGTTCTATCCTAACACTTTCTTCTCCCGCACTTGTGGAACTCTCCTCCGGCATCTTTATTTTCCAGTCAACATTCAAAAGTTTAAGCGCAATGCCAATTGTTATCTTCTGTCTTCTTAATTCCTGCTCTTTTAATGATCTCCCTTAATATTTTTCTTTTCTTTTTTTTTTTTTCATATTCTTTCACACTCAGTAATCCCTTGCGACTTAGTGGCTTTATTGCCTTGCTTGGAGTGAAATTATTAAAAAAAAAAATCAGATACACTGCAAATACTTCCCTGTGACTCCCTACCACTTCAATTCACGGCTCCTCCAAAAACGAACCGATAGTAAGCTACCTGATTACCAACGTTTCCTTTATTTGCCAAAATAGGAGAGTTGGCCGAAAAGTTCATAGACTGACTATGAAGGAGTGATGCCATGAAATCTTGCATGCATTAATTTCAAATCTTCTTATTAATATCTGGGTTTTTTTTGTTTGTTTTGTTTTGTTTTTTCAGGTAAACTGCTATCTGACTTTTCAAAGATCATTTCAGATGTAACTAGTACCGACTTCTCTTGAAAATTTGGCATCGTGGCAAGTGCCCGCAGAAAAAGAGTTTCGCTCCCAAGGACATTCATACTGCCATTGTTGATACATTAGGGGATGATGCTCCAGTTTTATCAACACTGCAAAAATGGGCAGCTGAATTGAGTTGGGGGAGACGACCCAAGATCTGGATGTCCTGCGATTGCCACCACCACCAATGGAAACATTGATCGTGTTCACGACATAGTAATGGGTGATAGGCGATTGATTATAAAACATATAGAGAATGCTATTAGCATATCCCATGAGATCATTGAGAATATTCCGCACAAGGAACTTGGCATGAAGAACGTTTATGTTCGGGTGGTGCCACGTCTTCTGACACCTGGTCAAAAACGCACCAGGCTGATCATATCTGTTATTGCTTGTTAACTGATCCAGCTGGCTTCTTTGAACGTTTCCTAACCCAGGATGAATTTGGGTTCATCACTTTGAGCCAGAAACAAAGAGACAATCTATGCAATGTAAGCATCCTTCCTCACCTGCTCCAAATTAAGGACGTATCATCTGCAAGGAAGATATTGACCCCACGTTTTTTGGATGCAAAAGACGCGTTTACTGGCTATCTTTAAAAGGGCTACACCATCAATGGCGAGTACTGTGTCAACTTGCTGAAAGACATACGAAAGTCTATTATGACTAAACCCCGATAAAAACTGACAAAAAGAGGTTTCGTTTCATCAGGACAATGCCCCAAGATATGTCCTTGCTTTCAAGGGCTGCGTGACTGTGGCTTTGAACCGGTTGATCACTCTCGCTATTATCCTGATTTTGCCCCATGTGACTATCATCTGTTCCCTGACATGAAAAACACTTGGCTGGTAATTAGTATCGCAGCGATGATGACGCCATATCTGCAGTTGATGTGTTTTTTTTGTTTGTTTTTTTAACCAACAGGATGCAATTTTAAACAATGGGGTCCGAACACTGCGGTACCGATGGAAGAAGTGCATGGGTTGCACGGGGGGGGGGACAATATCTATATCTTGATCAGCCTATGAACTTTTCGTCTGACCTTCGTGCACCTAACATCCAGTATATACACGTTCCTTAATTAGTAAGTCATTCACACAAACACTTCAAATCCGTACTTCCCTGTCCCACTTGACACATCCTCCGGTATTCCATTATTAAATCAGTCAGTTATGTGCCATAATTTTCGATACATGACTGACGATGCAGATTTTTTCCCGAAGTAGGTTGCCATTTCTTTCTGCTGTAAACCAATTGCCATCCAAGTCTATAGAACCCGGTCTCTCCTGCTATTTACCCATAGCTGGGGGTGAGAAGAGGAGGATTCATACCTTTCCCATGAATCCGACTGGAATTCGAAATCGGCTCTTCGATTTCTCAATCCGAGCCGGTATCCATTACTCCACCTCCGTTTCTTTTCTGCGCTAGGCTTACGGTCATATCATCATATCATATCTCTTCCAATCACTGAAGTTAAGCAACGACGTGCCTGGTCAGTACCAAGATGAGTTATGGACGT